TCATCACAGCTTTACAGAGCACCTTTACAGCAGAATATAGCAGAAGAGTCTACAAAGATTTAGTACATTCCTCTAGATAAAGTCACCATGTTCAACCCAGCACAATGCTACAAGGAGTTACTTTTTTTAAATGAAGGCTTAACTTCGGCTCACTTGAATCTAAATATTACAAATCACAACCAAGTATGGGAATTTTTTCTATGAATGATCTCAGTGCATTGAATGAACTGGTACTCACCATGACCTGCAGCATTTTCAGTACTTGGAAGAGCAGTCTAACAAAGCACCCTCAAACCACCTAAAACAATCCGAAGCCAGCCACAGTTCAGTGAGCCATGTACTTTTCATCCTTTACACAAGGAAGTAAAATCTTAAAAGAAGGTAGCTGATTAATCCATCCTGAGGGAAACCTTACGTAATGAAAAAGTCTGAAACACCTGATACACCGATTAATAAAGAAAAGCAGTCTCTAAAACAGTCCTTCTGCCTAGGACTTAATGCATGTAACTTTACAGAATATCAAACATATTTGGATTTTTGAGAGATTAAGAAAGCAGAGTTGGATACATGCACCCCAATGTTCACTGCAGCACTATTTACAATAGCCAGGAGATGGCAGCAACCTGAATGTCTGTTGACAGAGGAAAAGATAAAGATGCGGTGCATATATAATGGAATATCATTCAACCATAAAAAAGAACTAAATAATGCCATTTGCAGCAATATGGATGGAACTAGAGACTGTCATACTGAGTAACTCAGACTGAGAAGGACAGATATCATATGATATCACTTGTACATGGAATCTAAAAAAAATGGTACAAATAAATGTATTTACAAAACAGAAATAGAGTTACGGATGAAGAAAACAAACATGGTTAGTACGGGGAAAGGGAGGAAGGCTAAACTGGGAGATCGGGACTGACATATACACACTGCTATATAAAAAGAGATTAAAAGACCTATTTATAGCACAGGGAACTCTCCTCAGCACTCTGTAATGATCTATATGGGAAAGAATCTAAAAAAACAGTGGCATTTATGTGTAACTGATTCACTTGCTGTACATCAGAAACTAACACAACATTGTAAATCAACTATACTGCAATAAAAATTTTTTTAAGAAAGCAGAGTTGTAGGTCTTCTAGAATCATTTGCAAAAGTGAAGACCATCGTTTAAGAACTAATACGACATATACTTTGCCTGTGTGTTCAGTCATGTCTGACTTTTTGTGATCCCATGGTGGTAGCCCATCAGGCTTCTTTGTCTATGGAATTTCCCGGGCAAGAATACTGATGTGGGCTGTTATTTCCTACTAACCAGGGATTGAATCCTCATCTCTTTTGTCTTCTGCATTGGCAGGCAGATTCTTTACCACTGCGCCACCTGGAAAACCCAGTATGCCTTATATTGGGATTTCTAGTACACCTTCTTGATATTTTATAAAAACTAAGACAAAAAAGGGAGGAAAGTAGGGCAATCAAAAATTAGAAATATAGTTGAACAAACTATTTTCCCATCTTTTCCTATACTATTATACATCAACTGAACATCCTATTCAAGCTGGATGAACTTCCATAAATTTATCTAAATTATGTCTCCAGCAAAAGTTTAATTATTTTAACTGTACTTATCTGTTAGTTTTATCAACCAACTCAGGGTGAGAGCCTTTTCATTCATTTCCTCTGCTGTCTGAGCGGAGTGGCTATTTAGCAGCCCCTAGGCACCACCTGGGAGAAGGAATGGCACCCCACTCCAGTACTCTTGCCTGGAAAATCCCATGGATGGAGGAGCCTGGTAGGCTGCAGTCCATGGGGTCGCTAAGAGTCGGACATGACTGAGCGACTTCCCTTTCATTTTTCACTTTCATGAATTGGAGGAGGAAATGGCAATCCACTCCAGTGTTCTTGCCTGGAGAATCCCAGGAACGGAGGAGCCCGGTGGGCTGCTGTCTATGGGGTCGCACAGAGTCGGACACGACTGAAGTGACTTAGCAGCAGCAGGCACCACCTGACTACCACCACAGAGGGTTTTAGAAGTTTTTCAGATTATTAACTCACACAATTTTAACTCTCTTTAGAGCCTAGAAATCATAGTGTCATTTCTCTACCCAACTTCCATTAGAGGAGCAATAGAAAAAAAAACACAGATTACTAGTGAGTTAAAACTTTTGTGAGAAATAGTAATAGTTCTATTAAAATTATAAGTAAAAACTGTAGAATATGCACTAGTTCTTTCTGCTCACTGCATTTTGACTTTGACAAATTGTAAAAAATTGTTTCATTTGCAAAACCAGGTTCTTAGCTCTTCGATTTCCACCATTATATTTAAGTATACTTTTTAAAAAGCTGTTTTCAGTCAGCAATAAGAAAATAACAATGCATCTTTCACTGCATTGTGGGAGAACCCTTTGCATTCTCTTCAATTCTATCAGGACCCCAGGTAAGTAAACACTCAGCAAGTGTGTGTATTAAAAAATAATTGCTTTTGTCTCCATGAGGCATCATGCAGATTAACAAAATATTTTTGTAATATACAAGGCATGTATTTTTCCATTCTACGAAAAGCCTACAACCTAAAAGTACTACTAAAACAGATGCAGTTATAAAGACTAGGGACATCTGGGCTTCAATGTCAATGCTGATAATGAGGCTCTCCTTAACCAAACTAGGTCAGGCTCCTCTGAACTCTCTTCTCAATGAGGCTCTGACTTTGGGCTTCCAGGTTCATCTCTGCCTTGCCTACTTTATCAAGTATCCTGTTAGGCGGCTTTAGCTAAAAACCCCCTCTTACCCCTGATGTAAGTACGTTTCCAGCCACTGGCCCCCACTTTGCTCCTTGGCTATAAATTCTCACTTTAGGGAATTCCCTGGTGGCCTAGTGGTTAGGACTTGGTGCTTTCACTGCCGGGGCCTAGGTTCCAATCCTGGTTGGAGAACTAAGATCCTGCAAGTCAAGCAGCGCGGCCAAAAAAACCAAAACACACAAAACAATTAATCGCAGGGCTGAAAGCAAAAGCCAGAGAAAGATCATGGCATCCAGGTTGCTGCTTCACCCGAGTTCTGCTTCACCTTACAAGCTGTTGTTTATAGTGTTCTTTAATCCCTAAGGAACATATATTTTTCATACAATAAATCACTTTTCCTTACTGGAAACATAAATTATATTACTTCTACCAACAAAACAGGAAGAATACATAATAAATAATCTTGACTTTAGATGATAGCAATGATTAAAAGATTCTATTCTATTCTATTCCCTATCTTTCCGTCTTTTTTGTCATTAAAAATTTTGTTTGGTTGTGAACGGGACCCACTCCTTACTTTTTTTTTTTTCACTCCTTACTTTTTCATAGAAGACTCCTTCACGCCACGTGGCTCAGCTGAATGAACACGCATGGTGCCAAGGCAATTCTGATTCCAGCATAACCCTGGCAAGATCAGTTACTTCCTCCAAGTTTCAGTTGCTTCACCCATATCTGAGGCAAGCGGTGTTCATCATCCTTAGATTTTTAATACTTTAAAACTTCATCTCTTTACTACTGTCATACAACTAGATGAAGTTTTAAAGTATTAAAAGTCTAAGGATGATGAACACTGCTTACAGGCTTCCTAGGTAGCCCAGTGGTAAAGAACTCGCCTGCCATGCAGGAGACGTGGATTCTACCCCTGGGTCGGGAAGATCCCTTGGGTAGGAAATGGCAACCCACTCCAGTTATTTTTGCTTAGAGAATCCCATGGACAGAGAAGCCTGGCGGGGCTACAGTCCATGGGGTCGAAAAGAGTCAGACACGACTGAGCACAAAGGTACTACTTACATGCCATAGTATAATTATCTCAAATATTTATTTTCTTACCTCCAAATATAAGGCCACATTTAAGAAACGTACACATTCCACTGCTGTTGCTTGGATTTTTCTAATACCACCCTGAACAATGTCACTTCCTCTTTGGTAACTTCCTATGTCATTTTTACTTGAGGGACAAGGAATATATTTTGAAGTGAAGCTGTCTTTAAAACACATACATACACAACTACTTTCACTCCATCACTTTTCTGTCATCCTTTAATGAACTGAAATTTTGCCAATCAGTCTTCTAAAATATTACATTTTCTTTGAAATGCTACATTACCTAGCGGCAGCAATCAGCATTTTTAATACTTTAAGCATTTCAATTTACTGTTCACTAGCACATTATGACATCATTGCCTTCCAGTGTCTGCACTCATTAAATAATCCTCTACCTTTGTTCCCCTGCCTTCGATACATAGATTGCAGATGTCCTATTGTTCCCGTTCACCATTTCAGTGAAGAAGCTTAAAAATGATTTAATATTTGCACGTTTCTTTGCTCGGTAAATAACACTTCCCCTCACTGCAACTGAGCTGGAGAGTCTCTCTCTCACCAAAAGGCAAGATCTGGGCGAGACTAAATAGGAACTCGAAGGCCGAATGGGAAGGGGGGCGGAGTCAGTACATCAGCCTAACAGGGGTTCCAGGGCTTTCACAGATAAACAAAGGAAGTTGATTTTCCCACGGTGCCGCATGTGCTTCGACCATCCTAAGGTACTCGTGCGGAAGCCCAGAGCTCATTACCTTGAAAACGCAGCCCAAGTGCTGATTTTTTTTCTAAGGGAATCCCACTAAAAGCAGACAACCAGAAAGTCAACGGAGACAGAGATGGATGAGGAAGAGAGTGGGCCGACCATCGATTCCTTCCTCTGACTCCACGGAAGAACCTAAATATCTGCCAACCCCAACATACCGACACATAGCTCCTCCGCTGCTCAAGATACAATTTTCAGGGGGAGGAGAAAACAGGGAGCGTGCGGGGTGGGCTTCAGGTAGGGTGAGTGCGAGGATCAGGAGAGAAGAGTCAAGTTCAGGCAGCGGAGGGCCGAGGGCACTGGAGGGTGGTCTGAACCGAGCGAAACCGCGTGGGTGTCGGCGGCGAGCGAACGCCAGAACGGCAGGGGGCGGGCACGGGCCCCTTTCTCACCTGGCAGCCCTTCTTGTGATGAAAGCCGACCACCACGATGTGCAGGACGGGCCCCCGTGGGGGGCCATCGCCGCTCCGCCTGATCTTCTCCATGGACGACCGCCGCGGGCCCGCACAACGATGACTTCAACCGCCAAGGGCGGCAAGCTCGGCGACCCCGCGATCCCCAGGAGGAGAGCGAGAGGTGGATTTCAGGTGTCAGCGAGGGAGCCGCATGAGAGCCGCGCGGGGGCCGGGAGGAGGCCGAGGATCCTGCAGCTCTGCACCGCCCTCCCGGGCCGCGGCCGCGCTTCCCTCATCCGCTTCCGCTGTTTCCGGGCTGTCACCTGATGCAGGGGCCGCCGCGGGCGAGGCGGGACAGGCAGGATCGGGAGGGACCTGAGGGGGCTGGGCCTGGTGGCGGGGCGGGGCCTGAGGAGCGGGGCGGGGGCGCCGGGTGGGCGGGGCCGAGGGCGGGACCTGGTGGGGCCGCTGGGCACACCTGTCCCCAGTTCACCCCCTCTCTGTGCGACCTTCTCCCCCTTCTTCCTCTGTCCTTGCCTCTTCCTCCTTAAAATCTCCGCCTCTACCCATCTCTTCCGTCAGTTTTTTCCTACCTTTTTTCCCCTTCATTTTCCGTGTATCCAATTCTTGCACCTCCTTCCCTTCGCCTCTCTGGCCTGGAGTCTCTGCCCTTTATTCTTAAATTTTGATAACATGGAGACATATTGGTGCAACTCTACATCTGTGTACTCAACCTTTAAGTTACTTGCTTACCCAGAGTTTCTCTTTTGCTTCGTTCTGTGTTTTTCCTTATTGAAACATTATGTATAGGAGTTTGGAAGTGTTTTAAGGCCTCATGCAGAATATCCTTGAAAATAAAGTAAATTTACAAGGAGACCTGTAAAAATGATTATTTCAGTCCTGATATTTTATTTTTTATTTTGTTGTGAAAGTGTTGGTTGCTTAGTCGTGTCAGACTCTTTGCGACCCCATAGACTGTAGCCAGCCAGGCTCCTCTGTCTGTGAAATTATCCAGGCAAGAATACAGGAGTGGGTAGCCATTCCCTTCTCTGGGTGATCTTCCCAACCCAGGGATTGAACCCAGGTCTCCTGCATTGCAGGCAGATTCTTAACTGTCTGAGCCACCAGGAAAGGCCAATTTAGTCCTGCTATTAACAAAAAAATTTTTTTTTCATTCTATCTTTCTGGGTTTAGTACTCTGATCAGCACAAAATACGTGGAGTCAGTTATCAGAGGTTTTTATTTCCTTACTGATTGTACTAGTTGAATCAAAGAAACTGAATCTCATTTCACATCAATTTAAAGTGAATAGTGGAAATAATAGCAGATTTAACAAGTCTTGTCCAGGGCAGTTTGAGGGTAGGTGCCTGCTTCAAATAGCATTCATAATTATTGCAATAACTAGTTGTGAAGTTTATCATTACAAGTTGCCCATCTCTTAGTTTAGACAACCTTAATAGTTGATGTTTTCCACTCTGGCCTTAAAATTTAAGGACCTGCATTCTAATCTAAGTATGGCTGGGAAAAACTATAATGGTGGCTCAGATGCTAAAGAATCTGCCTGCCATGCAGAAGACCTGGGTTCAGTCCCTGAGTAGGGACCATACACTGGAGAAGGGAATGGCTACCCACTCTGGTATTCTTGTCTGGAGAATTCCATGGATAGAGAAGCCTTGAAGACTATGAAAGTTGGTGAGGTCTCCAAAAAGTTGGACAGGACTGAGTGACTTTCACTTCCATTTTCTTCTTATTAATAGAACATACTTTCTGTGAGTCAGTAGAATTGTTTTAATGCTAATAATACTGTAGAAAAACTTCAAGTTGTTGCTATTTCTTTTCTGTATTACAAAATTTTTGGCACTGACTCAGAACTTTGTGTGAAACTATAACATTCCCTGTATACAGAATATATATGTTACTGTTTTCTCCCATCTGCTTTGACATTTTCCACAATTAGCCTAGCTAAAATTGAAGTGAAATTGAACATTTTTTTAAAAGGATGAAAGGTCAGGGCATCTTAGAACTCTGTGTCTGTAGTGAATGCCAACTATTTACTTCGTTGTGCAGGAGACCCCAGTGATAGCAGTATAAAATCTGTATCAGAAAAAAAAAATCTGTATCAGAACTTTCCTGGTGGCCCAGTGGCTCAATTCAGAGGGCCCGGGTTTGATCCCTGGTCAGGGCCCACTCCAGTGTTCTTGCCTGGAAAATCCCATGGACTGAGGATCCTGGTAGGCTACAGTCCATGGGGTCGCAAAGAGTCGGACACAACTGAGCTACTTCACTTCACTTCACTTCACAAGGAACTAGATCCCACATGCCACAGCTAAGAGTTTGTATGGCACATCTAAAGATCTCAAGTGCCACAGATAAGGCCCAGCATAGCCATACCCCCCAAATCTGTTATATTTTGCATGCTAGGGTCTCCAACTAAGATGAAATCATTTCTTCATTACCATTATTTGGTTAAATGTTTAAAAAATATGTCATTTAAAATAATGCTGTAAACAAAGAAGATATGTCACAGGGAAAACTGGGAGAGAAAGTAAGCAAGGGAATTTCTAAAATTTTTTCCATCTCTAATTATACAGACTGGTCCATTTAACATTTAACAACTTTACATTAGTTTTTAATGAGTTCTATTAATATAAAATACACTAATTAGCAACATATTGTCTACAAGGACACATTGAGGGTAAATAGGAATTTCTCCTTAATTTTAAAAAATTGTTCGAAAGACTAAGATTGGAAATAGCGATTTGAGATAATGAAATACTTCCTGAACATTATTTTGAGAGGAAAAATTTACTTATATTTTATGATGAAATTTATCTCCAGGGAAAAAAGTAGAAATGTCTTTCTGAACATACAGTAGAAGACTAGCTTCTTTTAATTATGTGTATGATAAATTATAAGTTCTATTTTATATCTGCTCTGTAAGAACCAGGAGAAAAACCCTGGCGACAGAGCTATGATATGTTTTCAAATTCATTTGGAATTGGCCTGTTTCTTTTAGTGTCTTGCCTCAGGAAAGAACTCAATAGAATAAAAACACCTCTTCCTGCAATCCCCATTAACTACTGTGTAAACAAATTGTATCTCCTTTTTCAGAGTATAAGACCTCCTTTATTCTTCATCAATAGTGCTGAATATTGCTAATGTTAATGTGGTTTCTGTAATGGAAAGCAAAATACTGACTTAAAGCTTATTTTCTTAAATTTTAAACTCTATCAGGTAGCAACAATGCCTTAAATTTGGTTCCTATTCACATTATGGTATGGTGAAAATGAAACAAGAATAGATATAGGAAAAAGAAAAATTTTGGCATTACTTTGTCTTGCCAGAGAATGATGTGACGATTGACTACTCTAAGATCCCTGAAGTTAAAAGAGAACTTTTTGCTTTACATATTAAATTTCACGTGCGTTGTACATAATTCTTGCTAGTTGTCTTTCTCCCCCATTTGTCCTTTAGCTCCTGTAAGGGCAGAAGACATTGTAGTTCTGTTCTTTACACTATTTTATACTGAGCAAAATGCCAATGTTCAACTAAAGTATTTGTTCGATAAATGAATGATTGGTGCTTTACAGCCATTTTTGTGTGAATGAATGATGTTCTTCCTGCCCTCTCCTGCTTAAACTCTTCAACTTTAAGCTCCTCAGATATAAACATAAATAGACTAACGCAAAAAATTTGTTCACTTTTTCCTTTCAAAACAGATGTGTAAAAGCACCAAGGTTTCCTAAATGTGATGTTATTAACATAGAGTGACATCTGGTGGTTGCCTGTTGGACTGTGGAAGAAATAGTGTATACAAAAAGTGTATAGCAGACTCCTAGATATTACAAGATTAAAAAAGACAATTCAGTTCAGTCGCTCTTTGCGACCCCATGGACTGCAGCACACCAGGCTTCCCTGTCCATCACCAACTCATGATAGTAGAAGATAGAAAACAGTAGAAATGGAAAAAATATAAAAAGTAGAGTAGAAAAATAGGAAAAGAAAACGATAGTAGAAAATAGAAAACATACTTAAAATTTCCCCCTCGCCCAGAAGTTTTTTTAAAATGCTAGTTGTGGGTTTTCAAATCATCAAACTTTTAAAAGAAGCGGTAGGTTTTTTTTTTTTTTTTTTTAACGAACATTGCAACACAATGAATCGGTGGCGGGAAAATCAAATTTATTGATACTGGTCGAAGAAAGATCCTGGGTTGATATGAGACACAGCTTGATGCGGGAAATAAGACAGCACAAACGTTTTCGTTTCGCAAAGTCTTCCGGATTAGAGGAATACCTTATTTATAAGACTGGAGATCTCTAAAGTCTCTTGGAAGTTTGGAGAGAAGAGTATCTGTGGAGAACGTGGAACGCTCAGTGAACTGAAACACTTACAATCTCACTGCAGGATAAAGAAGTCGCTGGATCTCCTCGATCGCACTCTCGGCCTCAGATTGGTCAAGCCTGCCCGGGCAGGAAAAAAGCGGAAGCGCGCTCTTTCAAACTCGCAGTTCCGACGTCGATAGAGGCAGGCCACTTCCGGCGTAGCCATGGCGGCTAACGCTACCACTAACCCGTCGCAGCTGCTTCCTCTAGGTAATCTTTGTAGTGTTGGGGAGCCGGGGCGGGTAGCTGAAAGTTAGGGTTGGGGCCGAAGAGCAAGGCAGCCCATGGCCGAGTGTTAGAAAAATTTAGCTTTCTCCGCCGCTCTCCTCTACGCTCCTAGTCTCTGCGGCCTCATGCCGCCCACTTCTCTTTGGCGTGTTGGGGTTTTCTTCAGGCAGCGATTTTTGACTCCCCAAACCTTCACCGAAAAGGTTCACTCTTGGTGAATGCGTCGTCGGCCTTCTTTGTTGTGCGCTCGCCTTTATAGTAGTGGGTAGCAGGCCCGTTCCCCAACCGTGCATTTAAAGTACTCAGATTAGATCCTGTCTGGCTGGTTTTTGAGAGAGGCACTCGGAATGAGCCTTTAAAGAGGCCTCTGGAAACGAGCTCTTGTTACTCATTTATTTAGCAATCAATTACCGCGCATCTGTGCACTAGGCACTGTGATTGGCCTTATTTAACAAATTTAAATCACGACCATTACCTTTAGATAGCATACAAACCGGTGTAGGAGACAGGATACAGGGCAGACGTAGACTTATGACAAGAAGGAATCTCTGGTGAAGACAGTTATGCCTTTTTCTTCTTAATGTTTTATATTTGAAGGGTTATCGAGTTAGTGGATGTGGCATTTTTTCCTTCCTGGAACAAACTCTTCTGAATGACCAGTACATTTCGGGCACTGTCCACTGGGGATACACTGATGAGTAAAAACAACCACCTCTCAGTTCTCATGGAGCTTAGAGTCAAGAGGGGCCTTCATATGTTAATCAGATAATTAAGATAATAGTAAACCACAACCATGATAAATTGCTACAAAAGAGAGATAAGTGGAGAACAGGGAAAACTTTCCTGTTAATAGAATGACTGAAATATGTAACATAAGGTCTAAAGTTTTTCAGTGAAAACTTTTCCTGGCTTATCTTTTGACCATATGCACGTAATAAGTAGGCACTCAAATATTTGTTAAAGTTATGAATGGGCAAACTAATCTTTTCTTTCTCCCGCCACCCCCCCCCTTCCCTTAAAAAATATATCCGTAGAGCTTGTGGACAAGTGTATAGGATCAAGAATTCACATTGTGATGAAGAGTGATAAGGAGATTGTTGGCACACTTCTGGGATTTGATGACTTTGTCAGTATCCTTTTAAAAGGTGGTTGTATGGGTTTTTCTTCAGTAGTTTTTAAAAAGAACTATAGACTATCAGTACTTACCGATTATTACAATAAAAAATAACTTATCTTCATGGAAATTGTGATAGTGTTTTAAGGGATGTGGTACTGAACGATGAAGTTCCTACCAATTGCAAGCAGCTTGCATTTGAGCCATTATATTCAGTGTTATAATTAAAACTGAACAAAGACATAAGCCAGAGTAAATTTTAATTTGGTATATTTATTTTCTTAACACCAAATTTCAGATATGGTATTGGAAGATGTCACTGAATTGTGAGTAGTGTTAAAATTAAAGAATGGGTAGGGGGAATCTCTGTGTTTGATTTAAGGCAATTTTAGTGCTGTTGAGTCAGTAAAAGGATGTAGGAGAGAACACTGCCTGTTTGAATTACTCTAAAGATAGTTTACCTAATGATGTTAGTAAAATTGGATTGGAGGATTATTACCTTAATGTAATTGTCACTAATTGCTAGGAAGTTAGTGGAGACAAAGGTTTAAGGTAAAGCAGCCAGGGATCTTAGGGCTCCATTCAAATAAAGGAACTGATAATAAAAGCATTTAATGTTTTCAATTAATTACAACTTATGTATATATATATATGTAAACATTTTATTACATATTTGATCTCCTTGGCAAGTTTCAGTTTTTTAGATGAAGATCTGCACTAGGGGATATGGGTCTTAGGCCAGTAAGTCCACTCTGTTTCCTTTGGAGAATTGACATCACCGGGGGGATAACCTTGTCTCTGGAAAGTGTGTGTACAGTTCATGTATATATAGTAACCTTTTGGCAGATCAAAATGTTGGCTTTGACTGTTACTCTTTATCCTGACTTTTTGAAAATCTTTTTGTTTAGTGAAATCACACCAGAAGGAAGAAGAATTACTAAACTAGATCAAATTTTGCTAAATGGAAATAATATAACAATGGTAAGACAGTGAAGGTCTTTTATTTAGATGTTAAGCCATCTTTGTGGAGCAGGGATTACAGAACTAACTTGCTTGACTAAATGCTCTTGACCCAGCAGTGCTTACGATGTGAAGGGAATGCTCTGTTGATCAGGGTTCTGTGGCCAAACTGTTGACAATGACATTAGGCCTAAGATTAGTTTGCTTATGCCTTTTATTTTATGTATTTTTAAAAATATTTTTTTAATTTATTTGGCTGCAATGGGTCTTAGTTGCATCACGAAAGATCTTTATTTAGTTGCAGTGTGTGGGATCCAGTTCTCTGACCAAGGATCAAACCCAGGCCCGCTGCATTGGGAGCATGGAGTCTTAGTCACTGCACGAGCAGTGAAGTCCCTGCTTGTCCTTTTTAATCATTTATTTTACTCATTTATTATTGTTGAAACACTAAATCACTAAGTATTAATTGATACTGTTGGGATTGTAAACAGAAGTGACAGGGAAAATGGGAATATGAGGGAGAGGCAAAGACTGGTCAGTGACCAGTCAATGAGCTCTCAGTAGGGGTTTTTAGATCATGTAGTACTAAACTAAGTATTAAACTTTTTCCTCCTTTGCAGCTGGTTCCTGGAGGAGAAGGACCTGAAGTATGAAAGGATTTCCTTGACTTAATGCTAGGTTCTGTTTTGTTTTATAATGACAACAGAAGAGAAATTTTTTTTTTTACCTTTTAATGTTTGTATTCTGTGAAGCCAAGTTTCCCGTTAAAGGGAAGTGCTTTGAAGATGCATTGTAAATGCCCATTTTTGTAAGTTCATCATGATTATATTGGGGAAAGAACAGTTTGTTCTTTGAAGACAAAAATAAACGTGTTTTTGTTAACTGTCATTTTATTTATTATACTGCAATAGCCAGTGAAACAAAGCTTGTAATTATTTTCACTCACTTTCCTGACATTTTATGCTTATTTGCTTCCTCATGTACATGACATTTGATTCTCAAACAAAAATTGTTCCAAACAAAATGATGAGCCTTGATTTTGAGCAGGTGCATTTAAAAGACTAGAAATGATTGTTTACAAAACTCATTTCAGATTTTGATGCTTTTTTTTAACTGAACTCAAGTTCATTCAGTTCAGTTCAGTCTCTCAGTCGTGTCCGACTCTTTGCGACCCCATAAATCGCAGCACTCCAGGCCCCCCTGTCCATTACCAACTCCTGGAGTCTACCCAAATCCATGCCCATCAAGTCGGTGATGCCATCCATCATTAACTCCTATTAAAAACAAACAAGCAACATACCCAGATAATATATGCACGTTGTAGAAATGTAAAAAGGAAAATATTAATCACACCTTGCTGTATATGCTCTTAGATGTTAATACACTCTTAGTACACATTTTTTAAAAAAAAAACTTGCTTTTCCTAAATGTACTGTTTTGTTGCCTCCATTTAAGACTTTTTTTGAATTTAAATGGTGAGAAAGTTTCTGTGTCAAATATCTCAGCAGCATTAATGTGGGCAAAGTATTTTATTAAATGGTTTTACCATAACTTATTTAGCCTATTCTTTATTACTGGTCACAGTAGTATTAACTAAATCTTTATATATTTTTATTTTTCTTAGAATAAATTCAGGAATTTGTAAGGTCAATTTGGTATATATTTACCTTACATGGTAAGGTCAATGGTAGATACTGTCAGTTGCCAACAAAAAGTTTATGCCAGCCTAACGTAGTTTTTCTTAGTGTGCATGCTCAGTTGTGTCCGACTCTCTGCAACCCCATGTGCTATAGCCCACCAGGTTCCTCCATCCATGGGATTTTCCAGGCAAGAATACTTGAGTGGGTTGCTCTTCCTTGCACCAGGGGATCTTGCTGACCCAGGGATCGAACTTAAATCTCCCTGCGTCTCCTGCATAGGCAGGCAAATTCTTTATCACTGAGCCACCTGGGAAGCCCAGTTTTTCATAGTACCCATCACATACTTATCAACATTGGCTATGTTCTATTTTTTCCCCTCTTTGCCATTGTGATAGGCAAAATCTGGTATGTTTAATTTTTTTAAATTAATGTTGAACTCATTTGTATTTTATGAGTTATATGAGGGTTTTGCCACTGAGATACTGTGCTTTCTTACTAATCTGTAAGAATTCTTAATAGGTTACTCTTAATCATGCATTTTACAGTAACTTCCCCAATTTGTAGTTTGCCTGTTGGTACTTTTTATGAATAATTTTTTTTGTGTTGGTCTTGTCCATAATGGTTTTTACCTATGATTAGAACCATATGATTTTATATAATATATATTTTAGTGCTTTATTATATTTCATTTCATTGCAATCTTGAATCCATCTTCAGTTTCAGTGTTTCCAAATGGTAAAAGGACCTAGCTTTACTTTCCAAAAAACAAAGCACTGATTTGTGTGTGTTTTTACTTTCATGCTGTAAACATTCCTGCTTGGCTGGTTTCAAGCAGCCATGGGTTTAATAGCTGGCTTGCAAACTTTGCACAGATTTAACAGGTTCTTAGGAGTCTGTTATTCCATCCCACTACTTGTGACCCTGTTGGAGGGAGAGGAGGCAGTACTTTCCATCCTATTATTTTTCCCTTTGGAGGGAACATAAGTGAGGTAATGCCATCGTCTTTCTCCTCTTTTATTTGATATCAGGCAGGAGCTTGGTGGTTGGTCATGCTCATGTGTTTCCTCCTGGGAGTTAGCAGCCTGCAGGGAGCACATGTGCTTAATTCCAGCATGCTGTGAGTTCTACAGAAATGTGACCTCACAAAGGGAGGCCTCCAGTTACCTAGTCTGTGGCAAGCGGATTGGTTTTACTTCTGGGGTTCAGCGACAGGAAGTCCACTTGCCTACAGATAAAGTATGTCTCTTAATCTAGTCTTTAGCAGTAATACCAAGAATGGTCTGACTTCCATCTGCTTATACTTTTGTCATACATTGCATTTCTTTTAGAATGGATACTATTGTAAATAAGGGTTTCTTAACCTCGGTGCTACTGACATTTTTGTCTGGATAATTCTTAGTAGCATGCACTGTCCATGCATTGTAGGATCAATTAGATGCCAGTGGTATCCTTCCCTGTACCTCCCAGGGAAATGGCTCCAAATGTCCCCTTAGGGCAAAACAGTCACAGTGGTTGAGAACCACTGTTATTCATAATAAGAGCTCTATTTATTGGGCTCTAAAATCCCTCAAAATTTAGCGCATGGGCAAAGAATATTGGATCTAGAGGAGTAAAAATTGGGGAGAAAATGTGATTGAAGATTCTGGCAGAGTACAAGAGGTGATTTTTAAGCTGAAATAACGTGAAAGGATTTTCACTTCGGGAGTCTGCTGGTGAATGGCTGTTTTTATACAGGTGTGTTTGTTTCTGTGGCGGCCGGGCTGTATGTGCTGGGCTCTGTAGTGAAGGTGGGGCCTTAGCAGAAAAGGCTGAAGCTATGCTGGCGTTGGTGACTTAGGTCAGTTTGCCTCAGACTTTGGTTTCAAAACTGGTATGACAAGTCAGAATGACTTGGAGAGCTACTACGGAACACAGGCCCAGGCTTACTGAAATAGGACAGGGCCTTTGACCTTTGCATTTTACCAAGTTCATAAGTTCTCTAGGTAGTTCTGTTCCTCACCAAAGCCTGATTCACTGCCTTAGATGTAGCTTTTTAAGGCAGATGCAACTGAAGCAAAGACTTGATTATAGAGATGAGACTCGGTATATAGATCTTTTACACATTAGTGGAGAGAATAGTATTTGCTGCATTTAAACTGTAAGACAGGGACTTCCCTGGTGGTCCAGTGGTTAAGAATCCTTCTGCCAATGCAGGGGATATACATGGATTCAATGCTTGGTCCAGGAAGATCCCACATGTGGCGGAGCAACTATGCCCATGCGCCACAACTACTGAAGCCTGCATGCCCATCCTGTTTTTAAAAAACTGTTCAAGGCAGCTAAGTTCTCTGTCATGCACAATTCTGATGTGAAGAGCTGACTCTGGAAAAGACCCTGATGCTGGGAAAGACTGAAGGCAGGAGGAGAAGGGACGACAGAGGATGAGATGGTTGGATGGCATCACCGACTCAATGGACATGAGTTTGGGTAGACTCCGGGAGTTGGTGATGGACAGGGAGGCCTGGCGTGCTGCGGCGCTTCATGGGGTCGCAAAGAGGTGGACACAACTGAGTGACTGAACTGAACTGAAGTGAATCCTCACTTTTGATACTCCTCAATCCTGAGGGTAACAGGGGCAGGACAAGAAAGGGAATAAAGTTTTGGATATAGAGATAAATCATAAACTCAGAAGGGGTACTTGGTTTTATAGTGACTTGGTTTCAGCAACTCAAACAATGTGATTGACTAGGAGGTCAGGTTCATACTGTTCATGGGGTTCTCAAGGCAGGAATACTGAACTGCCATTTCCTTCTCCAATGGACCATGTTTTGTCAGAACTCTCCACCATGACCCATCCGTCTTGGGTGGCCCTACATGGCTTGACTTCTAGTTTCACTGAGTTAGACAAGGCTGTGGTCCAGGTGATCAGTTTGATTAGTTTTTTGTGACTGTGGTTTTCATTCTCTTGGCCCTCTGATGGATAAGGATAAGAAGCTTAGGGAAGCTTCCTGATGGGAGATACTGATTGAGTGGGAAACTGGGTCTTGTTCTGGTGGGCGGGGCCATGCTTTGTTGGTGATGGACCGGGGAGCCTAGCGTGCAGCAGTCCATGGAGTCACAGAGTCAGACAGGCCTGAGTGACTGCACTGACTGAGGTCAGGGGTTTAAGGCTAGCAGGTCCTCTTGTCGAGGGTAAGATAAACTAGGCTAAGTTGGAGGATCGTGCCAGGGGTTTCCTCGACAGCGAGGCATTTCCGGTTAGTGCACGCTGACTTAGGTTTTGATTTGATTTGTGACGTGAGCTGGGTCACTGAGTAGGCCTCCATTTTGTGGATCCCAAGATGAAGTTACCTTTATCAAGAGTTCCATGGGGGTTTCTAAGAGCAGTTTTAACTGTGGCTTTTCTAGATTTCATTAAGAAGAGTACCCTTATCCCCGCAGTTCTCCCTTCTGGTACTTACTCAGCACTGTGCCTGGTGTGATAATTGTTGACTGGTTACTTCTGCAGGGAGTAAGTTTATAAGTTGAACACTGAACATTCCATATCACCTGAAAGTTTAATGTACCTGTTTGGTAGGAGGAAATAGCAAGTTGATTAGAGGTAGAGTGAAAATTTAACAACTCCTGAAACAATTAGAGAAGTAACATTGAAATTTTAAAACAAAAATACAGCCTATCTATATAACTCTAGCAGAAATGAGCTCCTAATAGGAAAAAAGTGTGTGTGTGGGGTGCAAAATGCTAAGTACTAGGTTACCTTTGGCTTAGAGTTATATTGGCCTGGGACACAGATGTCAGGAAAGTGACATTAACTTGGTGGTTTTTTTTCCTGTAATTAAAAAACATTGAACATTGTTTGAGGTAATGTATTTGCATATAAATAAATGTAAGTGAAGATAAAACTCCCTCCCTCAGGTATTCTTCCAGAGATACTCAGTTCCTGCATATGCATGTCTGTGTTTATATAAATGTGTAAACACACAATTCCTTTTTTCCTGTACACACAAATACAAGCATTTGGAACACATTGTCCTGTACACTACTGCTTTTTGTTTTTTTTTTAAACTTTTGGAGATCTTCCTATATTTATTTTGGGATAATCAACATACGTATTTGACTGCTAAATGATTTAACATTTTTGTGTTTACTAATGGCTTCTTAATGCCAGGAAAGACATTTCTACTGTACAAAATTCAGAAAATTAAGCTGGAATGAGAAAAAAAGGTCAGAAAATTAATCATCTCTGAAATCACTGTGTATAGC